CCCCCCCACCTTTTTTACAGCTGCCAATATCTAGCCACTGTTGACTTTCTCATGATATAGAAAGAAAAGGAACGATCGAGGTCTTCACTTTCACCAGAAAGATGAGTTAATATGATACAAGAAAATCTATGGTGCTGCCCCCAGACCACATATTCTTGGGTTATTATCACTGTTCACGGTCTCTCACCCAAGATGCCCAATAGCATACGTTTTCTGGGCCTTGGTATCATGAATTGGGACCGTCGTCCACCTTATGGGACCACTACCCTGAAAGAAGCTCTATAGCCAGAGAAATGGTACCAACTCTAGGACCCTAACCACCTCATAATTCACTTGTTCTTTTCTTACACCACCTCCTCATTCATGACTGCCATTGCCTTTCCCTCATTCATCCCACTGGCCACTTCTAAGTTCTATCACACCATAAATTGGGTTCATGCTAAATCAAGCCCTGCTTTGAATTTCTGAATTTGGTATGATAATACCCACCCTATGTCATAGACTTTTGACTTTTTAACCTCAGTAGAAGCAACCTTCTCATTAATTAATCCCTGTATTAATTCTCTGGGTTAACCTAGAGATTAGAGTTTAAGTGCAGAAAAAGGAGAAATTATTTAAAAATTATTACGTAGAGAACTTAGGACTAATCAAAAACCATTATTATGGGTAAAATACAAAAACCTCCCCTATGATTTCATTTTAATAAAAACCTCCCCTTTATTTTTGGCAGAATTAACAAATACATCCCTTTTGTCAATGATCAAAATGGAAAACGTTAAAGAAATGATTTTTTAGAAAATATCTATTTTACCCTTTCTCGAACATTGTTCATCTTCTTCCCCGTTTGAACCCAGAAGCAAAGGCAGCGATGGCACCCCTCTAAATCCGATCACTTCCTCTTCTCTAATCTCTCATCTTCTTCGGCTTCTTGTTTTTTTTTTTTCCATTCATCTTCTTCTTCTCCTTCTTTTCTTCTTCTTCCTCTACTTCTTCTTCTGGCATTGTCCCCTTCCATCGCCCCTGTTTTTTGCAGAGGTGGTGTTTAATGTGAAACCTCTCCCTTTCTGCCATTCTCTCCCTCTCAATCTCTCTTTCCTATTGCCCCTCTCCCCCTCAAAGTAAATCAATCGAAAAGGCACTATTTCTCCCCCTCCCTATTCGAACCCAGAAGTAGAGCAGCAGCGGCGGCACCCCCTCTCAGCCTCTCCCTTCCTCCCTCTCTCCCTTTCTCTCATTTTATTCTTCTTCTTCTAGTCAGTTGGAAATTCCCCTTGTTCATCGCCTTCCATTTGAGACCGAGCGGAGCAACGGTGACAGCGGTAGCAGAATTAAAGGAACTATTGATCGTTTTCTTCCTCTCGAGCAGTGGTAGATCTAAATTCATCCCTATGAACCATTGGCGTCTTTTTCCCTTAGGCGGCGGTATTTTCAAATCTCCTTCGCATCTCTGAGCTTGTACCAGTTATGGGGGAAAACTAACAGAGGTGAAATCGCACCATCGTCATCCGGTTTTGCAACCATCCAACTTCCCCGCTCCGTGAACGATATTCCTTCAATTGAACACTATCGTGAGTCAAGCACCTGGAGGTCGTTGTCCATTCGTTCAAGTTTGTAGGTGGGAGCAAATTCGATCGTTCCACCCTTCTGTACCCTCTTTCTCGATTATTGAACACATCAAACTCACTAGAATTCCCGTTGGCAGCATCAAACCATTGGCTAGGACATTACTAAGGTACTTACACTGAACTGGATCTTCTCTATATTTTCTTTGACAGGAAGGATTTGAGGTTGGGGAGAAGATCTATGGAGTAGGTTCCATCAGATTCTCTCCCATAGATCTTACTCTCAACCCAGTCCGATTTGAACATTCTTGCCTGTTCTTGTGTGCTAGATCATTTATGATGAGGGCGGATTTGGCCCTCCAATGATATTGTGACACATGGCACCTCAGAACAACTAGGTGACACCCAGAACCACTTTGGCAACAACTTGCCTTAGCCAAGTTGATGGTGTCCCACTTGGCGGCCTGGCACAGGCGCGACCTGGCGGCCTGGCCTGGGCGCGACCTAGCAGCCTGGCACAAGCACGAGTTGGCAACCTGGCACAAGCGCGACTTGGCCCTAGCACGAGCTGGCAGCCTGGCACAGGCACGAGCTGGTAGCCTAGCACAGGCACGAGCTGGCAACTTGGCACAAGAACGAGCTGGCAGCCTGGCACAGGCGCGAGCTGGCAGCCTGGCACAAGCGC